GAGGGAGGGAGGGAGGGAGGGAGGGAGGGAGGGAGGATACATTTGACGGAAGCACACCCTTCAATCTGCAGATACCTACCCATGGTCACTGACTTTTCTGTGAACCAGCCAGTCTCTCCCCATTCTATAATAATCCTGTAATGACGACTCCCAGAGCTGAGTGTTTCTAATGAAAGCTGAAGAATGAATTTAAGAGAATGACATACTGTCAGGCTGTTTTATGAGTTTTGTCCGTTTTGTCCTAGCAGAAGGTTCCACACAGCAAGCTACCAAGTTAAACGCTCCGTGACTTAACCGGCAGGCGTGCATGTGCACAGGGGCAGGTCATTCAGGGCAGCCCGCACGTGGTAGCAAAGACTGGAACCGTACCTAACCAACCGGTCATCAGGGGGCGGCTGGTCAAATAAGCAGGGAACATCCATACAATGGAATGCTCAACAGTCTTTGAAGGAGGAGATAGAGCTAGCTGTATGCGCTAAATAGCCCCATTTGCAAGATATGCTAAATCAGAAAGGAGCTGAAAGGTGTGTCCAGGATGCCATTCTTTGCATGAAAGCAAGAGGATAACGTGCAGACTATGTTTGCCAATGCAGAAAACCTCCATGACAGCTGACACCACCAGTTTCCTTTGGGAAGGAGGGAGTAGGGGCGCCTTTTCCTACTTATTCTTCCGTCACATTGTACATATATTACCTATGTTACTAAATGTGCATTTCTCTCTTTTTTGTAGCTAAATCCATAATAGTAAGCATTTATTAAGTGCTCATCTGGTCCAACTATGATTCCAGTTCCTGTGGGGGCGTAACTTTGGAACAGGATCCTTCCCTTCTACTTCCTCACAATCTCATTGCAACAAAGGGTAATAAGCATTTGGCACAGCGTAAAATAAGGACTTTGTGTCACCTGAGCCCAGTGTAACTAGCCCCAAGCCCACCTCATTTGATCACCTTGATTGTCACCTTGTTTATTCACTTTCTACCTGCACTGGATATAAGCTGCACACTTTCAATGACTTTTAGGTCAATAGTATTTACTGAATATCTAATAATAATAAGACAAGTGATCATTGCTCCCTTTTTGTCACACATTCATTCACCTAGAATGTCCTGTGCACTCACAGGATGCAGGTCCTCACCTAGGGCATTCAATAGTGAGCAAGACAGCCGAGGTCCTCCTCCCATGGGGAGGAAGAGAGACAGTAAACAGCTCTCTAAAATAAAATAAGGCATGGGATAAGAGAAGGAGTGGGGAAGGGGTGTGGCTCCGGGAGACTGGATGGTTAGGAAGGCTGGGGTGACAGTTGAGCTGAGTGACAAGAAGAAACATCGATGCAACCAGGCAAGGAAGTGCCATCTAGGCAGATCAGAACCGCACGGGCAAAGATCCAGAGGTAGGAAGCAGCCTGACACACATCTGCAGGGAAAGAAGAGTAGTGTGGCTGGAATGCACCGAACACGGGGGAGAGGGTAAAAGATGAGGTCGGAGGAGGAGGAGGAGGGGGCAGACGACACAGGGCCTTGTCACCAGGGCAAGGAGTCTGGATTTTACTCCATCCACAGTGGGGATCACTGAAGGGTTACAAGCACAGGGTGGCATGATCTAATTTTTTTTTTTTTTCTTTTTTTGGCCATGCCTCATGGTTTGCAGGATCTTAGGTCCCCAACCAGGGATCAAACCCATGCCCCTGCAGTGGAAGCATAGAGTCCTAACCACTGGACGGCCAGGGAATTCCCGAGTTACATTTTTTTAAAGGTCTTTCTGGCTTCTGAGCAGAGAAGACACTGCCGTGGGCAAAAGAAGAAACAGGTAACAGGTGTGAGGCTTCTTTGGGGGATGGTGAAGTGTTCTAACATTGTGGTGATGGCTGCACAACTCAATGAATATACTAAAAATTGCTGAATTATATAAACAGGTGAGCTGCAGGGTATGTGAACTATATCTTAATCAAGCTGTACATTAACCAAAAAAATTGGAAACAGAAGGATCATTTAGAAAGCTGTTGCTGTCATCCAAGCAAGCAAAGACTAGGGTGGTGGCAGTGAGGGGTGATGAGAAAGATAGATTCTCAAAATGTTATGGATGTAGAAGTGTATTCTCTTTAAAAAAATAACGTCTTACTTCACTTAATGTTCACAACAATCCTACATAGTATGTACTAGCATCATCCCCATTTTCATGATGGATAAACTGAGGCCCAGAGAGGACTCAGTTACCTGCTCAAGATCTACTGCTGCATCAGCTCCATCTACTACCAAGTGAGTGGTGGAAGCCGACTTTAAGCCCAGGTCTGTCTGATCCAGATCCTGAGCTAAGAGCCTGAGAGTATCCTGCACAGCCGTTAACAGCCCCATCAGCACAATTATTTCACAGCTCTATTTTTTTTTTCTAGTTTCTCTTCATTACATAAAATTGGAAAGATCCTTAGGGGCCATAGAGAGTGAGGGCTCTCAGGCTGCTCAAACCGGAGCTCTTCTGTGTGCACATCAGCTGCCCTGCCCCCTACACTCATTCATTAATCTTCATATCAATGCGTTGGCTCCCAGCTCCCCAGTCACCCTTCAATGCCTGCTCTGGGATGTGGACAGACTCCTTTCTGCCTCTCCTTTACAGTCAGTGAAATGCTAAGCCTTCTCAGTAGAGGGTGCTGGAGGGACACCACTGGAGGAAAAAGCTCACCTGTGGTTTCCAGGCTGGGGCACAGTGGGCGGGTCAGCAGTGCGTTGAGTGAGGCCATCAAATGGTGCCCTGGTCAGCCATGCGCCCAGCACATGCTGTCCCTCGAGGCTTTCAAGCCCCACTGTGGCCCAGGGGTCACCTTCCCAGGGCCCTCTCGATATGGACATCCCAGATATGGAATCTCAATATGGATTCCCTCACCCCCAGGTTTGTCTCCCAAGGTCCTCCTTTCACTGTGGCCCTTAGTGTCCCACCAGGGACACTGTGAGCTCCGGTGCCCTCACTCCCATTGTACACCCAATGTGTCAACCACCAGCTGTGCCTGCCACCCCGTCGGTACCCCTGGGATTGCCTTCTTGCTTGCCCCACCTGCAGACCAGCTCTGGTCCTGCCATCCAGTGGCCTGAACTACACTGTCTCCAACCAGGTCTGCACCCCAGCCTTAGGGAGGGGCCCCCGTCCAAGTGTGTCCTACCTCAGATTCAGTCCCTTAGCCTAGGCTACCATACAGTTTTCTTCTATAGCCTACAGTTACTCTTGTATCATAATTTAATAAGTCCATTTCCCTCCATCTTTCCACCTGATTGAGCCGAGGCCAACCCCACCTCTGAGCTCCAGGCATGACAAGCCCAGGATCCAGGCTTGGCCAAGCAGAGCCCTCAGCATGGTGATGG